AAGAAAATGGAGATGTGAACCACTAAAATTGACATCCACTCAACTTTAATGGAATCACCATTACCAGCAGGACCAAGATAAACCTGTAAAACCTTTCTTCATAGTCCTGAAAACACCACCTACTCTTGAAAGTCCTGGATTACTCAAGAAAAGTTTTAAGTTCCAAACCAGGTCTTTGTCTCTTTGAAGATGTCTCTCAAACCTTTATAAGGATTGACAAGGTATTAAGTTCCAATCTAAAGATACTCTATGGGCTGTGTGGTCCATGTAGGCCTTGTAAATGGGATTTTCGTCGATCTTATTTCATTATGTAATAGAAGTACATTGTCTATCAAGGAAAAATACTAGAGAAATAAATGTCAGAAAAGAAAATCCTGACATGAAGGCCTCTTTCATGTGCACTTCACCAAACTTCACACAAGGGGCATGAATTTCTAATGGTGCACCTTGTGACATTTTTCTTGCCCCTCACCATGAGGCAAGCCTTGGATGCCTATTCAAATGCTGAGGAGCCTAATATACATCAAAAAGAAACTCCATGGCTAGGCAGTAATGGCAGGAGAAAGGAGTTTTTGGATCCTGCATCCTGATTCTAGATTCAAATCACATTCTTATTCTTTATTCATAAAAAATGTCCATCCCCAATAAAAGGACTTATTTGGGCTTTGAACTAATTTTTACATGGTGGCATTTCTTTCTAGAACTTGTCCTGTTGCTTGCATCATGAAATGCTCTGATGGTCACCATGCGAATGTATGGCATTGTGCAGAGTTCTTGTTTGCATTATTTACCATATTCCATGATTATGATGCAAATTTGTTTTGAAAACTAAAGCTTGAAATTAACTTCTGATGGGTTTTTGAATGTCTTAGAAATAGATTCTAATGTTTTTGATCAGTAACGGTTAAAGAGATTCTGATGAGCAACAAATTAAAGGCAAAATACAAAATACAAACAGAAACAGGTGTTTGGATAATACTAAAACGACAAGGTTGCATTAGATTGTAGCACTATAAATTGAACCAATACATAATTAGATATTAGAAGGCTGATCTCCAAATGGTGAACTCATAGTTTGCAAACTCATCAAATTCACTATAAGAGCATCTAAGTCAAGCTCATCATCATATCCAAACCCAAATACCAAAATCCAAATATTAACAACCAAGTAAACAACAGAACTAGCCATCTAATTAGTCAAGCTCATCATCATCTCAGCCAGCAAGTATAGTGTCAAACTCTTAATGATTCCAAGCAATTTTACCAAGTTATAACCTAGGTTTTCTATTTATTGATGAGATTTCAGCAAAATTTAAACATTTAAAAATATTTACGAACTATATTAGGATCAAATGCCAATGTGAGAGAGAGAGAGAGATTTACCTATCGATCTTCCTTTACAGTTAGAGTTTCAGTTTTTT